TACCACAAAAGGCCTATGTAGCCAACCCGTTTACCAGTGTTCAGCGACTTCACCGCTCGGCCGCTGTAGGGCTACCTCCTGAGCGGAAATTCGTCTTCATTCTAAACAGTCACGAGGCAGCAATATTTTCTTGCCGTTCTATAGCATGTTTGTGTGTGTGATTATGGCAAAGCCTCGTGGGCCGTCTGCCTAAGAGGTGGGATGCCTTCGTGAAGGACTTTCTAAGGGAAACTGGCTCGTATACACGTTACACATGGGGCAAAACCACGAAAACGCCATGCAGCCAGCCCGTTCGCGGGATTCGAACCTCGACCGAACTACCAGTGTTCAGCGACTTTATCGCTCGGCCGCTGGTGCGTCGCCGTTCTATAGCAAAATGCAATTAATGATTGTTGGCATTTAGATTCGTTTTCTCTTAAATTTGCATAATTCCTAATCTGAGGGAGTAATTCTGATGGAAACCAAGAAAATTGAGGACAGTGCAATGTTAATCTTAATTGTTAATTAATCTTAAATCAATTATTACAGGTGATAATTGAATTATTTACTGATAATTTGAATTACTTTAATTTAATTATTGATAGTTTGAATACTAAGATAACTGTAACGCTTAATTGATATTTTGAATGCTTTCTTTAGGCTGATCATCTTGTTATTACTAAGTTTTTGCGAAATTTCAATCTATTTTTGTGAAAATTCTATTTTACGAATTTTTATGAAATTTCAATCTATTTTATTTTTTATTTTTATTTATTTTCTTTTTAGAAGCATGGAGCAAACGGTTTTTTCGTGTGTGATTTCATATGCGAGCCAGTTTCCCATAGAAGTTGATAATCGTAGCGTGTCTCATTCACCCTGAAGTTGATAATTTTAGCGTGTTTCGCTATAATTACTAAATACCTTTTCCCTTCGGCCCACCAGCGGTCGAGCGGTAAAGTCGCTGAACACTGTTAGTTCGGTCCGAGGTTCGAAACCTGCGAACGGATGGCTGCATGGGTGTTTTTGTTGTTTTCCGCATGTGTAATGTGTATACGAGCCAGTTTTCCTTAGAAAGGCCTCCACGAAGGCATCCCTCCCCTTAGCCCTCGATGCTTTGCCGTAATCACATAAAACCAAATCAAATTCTCTTTTGTATAAAAGAACTTTCTTTCAAAATTTTGTATCACCATCTATATCGCTTTCCTAATCTTCAGCAATAATCTATTTTCAGAAAGCGATAATTTTTGTGCTTTTTAATGTAAAAAACACTGGTTTTTCTTTTTTACAGAATATATGAAGCAACATTAAGAACCAAAGTTATTCTTCCAGAGTTGATTTTCTATTGTGTTATCTTGTATTTTCTTGTTTTGTTTTTATTTTTCCATGACCATTAGTGTTTTTTTTTTTTTTTTTTTTTTTTTTTTTTTTTTTTTTTTTTTTTTTTTTTTTATGTGTGTGTGTGTGTGTGTGTTAAGAATCTTTTGAACTTGGACCATATTTGATTATTTTGGATTTCAAATAATGCTTCACACTTCGAAACTATCAAATACCAACCCTTTTTTCACGAACCAGAACTGCTAGCAGTGATCTTCATTTAAGGAAAATCCAAAGCTGCTACATTAATATAAAGAAAATTTTCTGTTATTATGTGAGAACATGTAAATGAGATTTCAGTTTGTTGAAACAAAAGGAAGTCACGGGAAACAGGAAAACGGAAGATGAACCAGGAAATAGATGCTTTAGGTACCATTAGGAGGATACGATGTGGTGGTCTGAAAGTTTCCTAAAATGCTGCATGACGGCGTAGCCTCGCTATCGCATCCTCCCTCTTCCCTCGTCTAGACGCTGTAATTACTTTTCGGTGAATACCTGTATACCCGTGGAATTTTGAACAGTGAAAAAAAATCCCGGAAATGTATTTGAGCTATAAATAAACCTGGTGCATATCTCGATAACCTGGCATCTAATTAAGCAGTTCAGCTTAGTAATAAAATGGCCTTTCTCAAATATAAGATGATTGGTTTATTGAGATTACGGCAAAACATACTAGGGCTATCTGCCTAAGGGCAGGGATACCTTCGTGGAGGACGTGCTAAAGGAAACTGGCTCGTATACACGTGACACATGAGGATTACCACGAAAACGCCATGCAGCCAGCCCGTTCGCTGGATTCGAACCTCGACCGAACTACCAGTGTTCAGCGATTTTACCCCTAGGCCGTTGTTGGAACTCTGAATTAAAAATATTAACGAAGTAATAAAGAAAAAGGAATTATATAAAGGGCACATTCTAAAAGAGACTGAAAGCCTAAGTGCTGAATAAGTTAAATGCTAAATTATTACTTAAGAAGAAATTTTTATAAAATTTCAAAGCCTGTTTTATTGTAACTTATTTTGTTGCGAATATTAAGCATTATAGGTTTGAAAAGAGATAATGCTGAGTTCAATTGCGTATCTAATAGTTGGAAAAACTTCTAAATTTTTCTCTCTGCAGTAGAAATCGTTTTAAAATCCTAAACTTTCTTTATTTCAGTGTTCATTTAAAACTATACAAACGGAGGCGTATATAAATTTTCCTTTCGTATTGAACCGGGGCTGTTGCTAATTTACATTTAGACGATTTTAAATAAGTAAACTAATCAGCATAACTATTCGGGTCTAGTCCAGACTCCGCAACTATCCGGGACAACACCTCATGGGCCCCATAAGGGCATACATTGATTCTGTTTCATAATACATGCTCACATAGTTCATACAGACACTTGCTTACATAGCTCATAATACGTGTTTACATAGTTCATAATAATTCATTGTCCATATTTTGTGTGTTACCTTTATTTATTAGATATCATGTTCTTCGCACTTAAACCATAAAATTCCGTTCAAGAGCAATATCGCAAAATAATTTTAAATTGAGCTTATCTTTAGAATTTCCGATACGCTGTCTTAGGCGCTGGAGATGAAAATGTTTTTTCCGTACAGTGTTACAATAGCTCGTTTGGAAATCCTTGAGTTTGTTACGCAAAAACTCGTTGAAATTTTACAAAATATGAAATCGATAATAAAACAAATTTCAAATTTGGGCTTTCAGATACCCATATTCGGAGTAGGATTACGTCATTCAAAATTTGATGGCTCCAGGTACCGTTGTTGTAGTTGTCCCCCGACACCTTCGCTTTTATGCATGTTAATTCAAAACTAGTATAAAAATTAAACATTGGTAATCTTGGGGAATTTGAATAGAACTCAAAGTAATTGAAATAAACATTAGAAAATTAAGAAACATAATGCTATCTTTGTAAAAACAAATCAAATAATAAAAATTGAAATTAATGTATATATAATAAGAAAAAAGGCATACGCAGGTCATCACCACAAAAACGTTGAGAAAAGTCTTTGCTTGGATGCCTAGTTATACGTGTTTTATTTTTAAATGCTTTTTTAAAAAGGGCAGAATTTTTTTTTTTTTTTTTCCTAAACTGTAGTTTTTTAACTGAAAATCTGGCCCTACCAGTGGCAGAGTGTTAAGACAGCTGAATATTGGTAGTTCTACCTGCTTTGGTTTCGAACTGGCGAACGGACTGGCTGTATGGTTGTTTTTCATAGTTTTCCCTCAGAAAGTCCTTCGCGAAGGCATCGTTCCTTTTGGGTAGATAGCCTTTGTGGCTTTAAGCATATCACCTAATTCAACAAATAAATAAAATATCCAATTTGTTCAAAACAAGTTCTTCTGTGGTAACACACAGAAACTTGTTTCGTTTATTCCAGAAGGGCAAATTTTTACCAAGAAGTGACATTTCACCTATTGTAAAGATACGGATAGCTGGAAGTGTTGTGAGAAACATTTGTGAGCATTTGTTAGAAAACTGTTCTAGAGCGGGCTTTAATAGGGAGAAGGGGAAGAAAAGAGCGTTTTAACACTACTTTTTAATTGTTTTAGGTTTTGGAAAAGAACCTTGTATACCTAGCGTGGCAAGTAAATGATAATGTTATCATTGGAAAACTGACAGTTAAAACCAGCTGCATTTCAAAACGTCATTTATCACTTAGCCAAGCAAAGCAATTTTTTAACTCTGTTTTATACCATTTAGTGGAAAGCGATTGTCCCAAACACATTATATCGCACAAGAATGCACGTTCGCACCGGTCAGTGTGCATCTACTTAACTGTATTCTTATTCTCCAGATTTATAACCATGTGATGATTTTCTCTTTCCAGATTTAAAATTTTTTCCTTAAATAGAAGTATTTATCTCACAGTGAAGAGATGCAAAGAACTATGACATCCATTCTTCGCGTGATACAAAAAAAAAAAAAAAAAAAGAAAAAGAAAGAAAAAAAGAAAAGAAAGAGCTCAACAAGTAGTTTTTAATCTTGGATATTTTTTTAAATAAATGCATTGCTGTTATTTAATTCCCATTGTATATTTATTGGGTTACCTATACCTAAATACTTTTTAGTTTTGTTTCATTATTCACCTTTCTTTTGGTTTTAATGTGAACCTGTGATTGCATGTATGACTGCTGTACCTCATTTTTACTTGCTGGTTTTATTTTGAACTTCTGCTCTTCTAAATAAGAAACCCGACGTCTGTAGTCAGAGGTGATGAAGGTCATATGTTGTTGAGAGGGAAAAACTGACTTGCTGACGCATTCTTTTTAAAGAACAATTTCTTCGTTATTAATGGTTACCTGATATTCATGAAGAAAGAAAAATATCAGAAATAAAAATTAAAAAAAAAAATATCATTCCGTGCACCTTTTTTTAATTAATATTATTCTTATGGACTCCTGTAATACTTTTCTTGCGTACCGTAGAACACTACCTGCTTTTTCTTTAATTCCTATAAATATTATTATTCCTATATTCTTTAGTTCCTATATTTCCTATGTTCTATTAGGTCCAAATTTTCTTAAATTGTATTGTATTTGCAATTTGTATTAAAGTTACAAAATTCATCATATTTTTGACGTTTTGATTTAAAAGTTTAAATACTCATGATACTGTGCTTTAATTTTTTTAGGGAGATCTGGCCAAAAAGAAAATATACCCGACCTTATGGTAAGTTCACTTGAATCACTTTATAAAGATGTAATGTGACTGAAAAATTATAACCGTAGTTTGCTGAGTTAAGTCTGTAGTAAAATATACAAGTATTATTATTATATCGAGAAAGAACGCTTTGATTATAAAAACTGTCTAGACTTTTCGTCTTTTTCGTAACTGCATTCGATTTTTGCACGTCAGACCTCAAAAGTACATTCGATTTCGTTCCAAATTCGTTGAATGATAAAAGTAGCACTCGCTTGTATCATTCGGTACCACAAGCGCTAAACGTAAGAAATCTCTTCATCGTACAGAATATTCATAATTTAGTCACCAAAATAAATGTAATGGGGTGAGACAGCACCATCTAAAATTGCCGTCCAAAGCTACAAGGTACGCCTTCCTTAACAAGTGCAGTAACTCCAAGGTAAGGAGTAGATCAAAGAGGACGACTGGATCGATTTATTGTCTCGATACAGGTATAGATCTCCTTTCTAGGAGCCTTAGCCGGCGCTGTGGACTTTGTCATTCGTAACTTAAATTCTCATCCACCAAAATTTAAGTTTTTATAAAATCCACCTGTTATTTTTCAATGATCTTGTATTCTAAACCTTACTGTGTTTATTCTAAACCTTACTGTGTATTCTAAAACTTACTGTGTTACTGTGTAACAATTTGTGATGTAATGGAAACTCGCTGTTAGAGGCTTAAATCCGTTATTATTCATTTTCCTGTAAAATTAAATTTCTTATTTTAAAAATATTAAAATTAAATTTCCTAATGAAAATTTCCTAGTATTGACATTTCCTGATTCTAAAGCTATAACTATTTTATTTCATTTCCAGGGCACTGTATCGTGATGGATTGTTGCCTCCTAAAACTAGCTTTGTGGGCTATGCTAGGAGTGATCTGACTGTTCAAGATATTCGTAATAGATCTGAACCTTACATGCAGGTAGCTTTAAATTTTTGTTTCTAATCTGTAAATTCTTGTACAATATATATAGATATATGAACATATATTTTTAACTTTATTGGATTTGGGGAATGATCATAACTTAACTAACGCTTGTCTTGCAAATGCGTAGCTAATCATACTACGCATATGTCAAGTTCACATAAACATGTGTATAAGATGGGATTGCAGCTCTCTTTCTCACTAGAGGTTGGATGACCGCGTTAACTGTACGAGTTTTTAATGCTGGTAGGTCGCGCTTATATGTATATTGATCTTTGTAATAATGTTCTATTTTTAGTATTATTATTTTGTATTGGTATACCTGTAAAATAATAAACTAATGTGTAGAAAAATATCATCTGTTCTTCAACTCTAATTTTCTACACTAATGGAGATAATGATAGTTGGGAAGCTCAACTTGCCTACTTAACCACAACTTCTCAGAATATTTATCATACCTAAACATAGTAACAACCACTAATATGAGAAAGTAAGCATCCTCAGACTTGAAAAGCAGTATTCATACTGCTATATTATCTAATATGAGAAAGTAAGCATCCTCACAGACTTGAAAAGCAGTATGAATATTGTTTATCTCACTAGAAATGCTAGCATTTTGGGAATGGCAGGCTTGTAAAAGGCTATAAGCTTTGGTGGTGAAAGTGTGCCACATTTGAATAGTAAATCTACATTTGGAGATAGTTTTAATAATACAAGGTGTCAACCGTGATTGACAACTAAAACAATCTCATTTAATTTGAGATGAACTTCACCTGAAATGCCTGATCAGCACTTATCAACAAGTTAATAAGGATATCGACTATTGAGAATCAGACTAGATGGGTTTATAACGCGACCATGGCGCTGGAGCAGGAGTTTGGTGATAGCAGCTGACTCTACGTGTCAAACAAATGCACAAAGGACGGACAACAATGTTAAACTTTTACCTTTCTAAAAGGCAAAGTTAGATTTTCTTGACAATCTGTACTTCTTTTATAGAAGGGGATGATGGGGGCATATTGAGCATGAAACCTTCGAGAATAGGTACTGAGATAAGATTCCCAGTCGAAGACGGTTTAGAGAGGGTAAGTAAACTACTTTGAACAAGTTTGAGCATGTCTTTGTTTGTCTTTGATTCTGATACTTCCTGCGAATTCCCCGAATTTGAGTAATTCTCTCTCAAATGTCGTACATCAAGTACACTCGCTCATGATTATCGTATTCTAAGAGGGCAGTGTATCTGTCAACACTACAATGCACAATGTCATGATGTTACACTTTGTAGCGGATAGTTAGGAATAACCCGAAGCTACGAATAACCCGTAGGAATTCAGAGGAAGATTTTTTTAACTTGCTAGCTGTCTTGTAAATAACCTGTTTTCCCGTAGTTTGCTGAGTTAAGTCTGTAGTAAAATATACAAGTGGATCATCGAGAAAGAACGCTTTGATTATAAAAACTGTCTAAACTTTTCGTCTTTATCGTTGAGACAGCGTAACTTAAGATCTTTCATTTAAAGTAAAGCTGCTTAACAAACTAAGTGATTTAAAGCGAATAAATGCATTTCTTAATAATTTAAATACTTATTTTCTTTCTTAATAATCACCATTGATGAAACATAAAATATATTTAATTACAATGTATTCAAGCTATAATAAGGAACATTTGAAAAAGTATTATAGTTCATATTTTACTAATGTTATATTTAGTACCTCTGATAAAATTATTTTTTAATAATATACTCCTTTGTTCCAATTTCCACTCCCTGTTGAGAGTCTTCCCACCCCCCCTTCTGAGTTTTTTTAATTTTTGTGAAGCTGTAATGTTTTCTTGACATATATCAGTTTTGATTATCCACTTGTTTTTGTCTAAAGTTTTCAGTCTTCAGATCGTTTCAATACTGCTTTTTAGTCAAGCTATTACTAGACTATAACTGATAATTATTAGACTTTTGCATCATGTAATTAAGTAATTATATATATTTTTTTCCAGCTATAAAAGAATAGGAAAAGTTTCAGAAAATGAAGTAAAAATAATATTGTTTCCTTGTGAATTGCTTATTTTTATAGTAATTCTAAATGTTATGGAAAAATCTGTTTTCTAAGGCAATTAAATTACTTCATTGCATATCTTGTCATATCTGTATATATTATCTTTGCAGGTTAGTGAAAATCAAAAGCAGAAATTAGAAGACTTTTTCAAAAAGAATTATTATGTTAGTGGTACATATGCAAAACCTGAAGATTATGCTAAACTTAATAAGGAATTGGAAGCTTTGGAACAATCCTCATCCCCAGCACATAGGCTTTTTTATCTAGCTCTGCCTCCTACAGTTTTTGCTGTTGTGACCACCAATGTGAAACTCAAATGCATGGCTTCAAAGTAAGTGAAATCTTGCCCGCTCCGTTGTGTGAATATTAAATTCATTATGGTACTTTTGCCTTAAAATATGGCTCCCTAGCGGCTATAGGGAGATAGACTAACTGCCTATCTCCCTATAGCCCTCGTGGACTTTGCCATAATTGAATAATCCAATCCCTTAAAATATGACACATATTAATTCAGAAGTCAAACAACAAAATTCAGCGTAATATTTTCAAAATTTTTAAATCAAAATTTTTCAAAAAAAATTTTTAAAAATATCATCTGTTCTTCAACTCTAATTTTCTACACTAATGGAGATAATGATAGTTGGGAAGCTCAACTTGCCTACTTAACCACAACTTCTCAGAATATTTATCATACCTAAACATAGTAACAACCACTAATATGAGAAAGTAAGCATCCTCAGACTTGAAGGACTAGTTTCGATGGTTTTTCCGAACCCCCATCCTCAGCTGCAAAACCGCAAATGAACAAGATAGGAAATAATGATTAGATAAGATAAGAAAGCCTGGACAAGAATAAGCAAGTGGCGCCATCTGTTGGTGAAACCAGAACTAAAACATAATGTCTTTAAAGGGCAAAGGCAGAGTTGGATTGGAATTAGGATCGTTAACTAGAACAGAAAGATTTTTTTGACTGTGAAATGCCTCTAGAAAATCCAGTTCTCCAATGGAAGATGTTTTTTGAATAATTTTGGCAGCAGAAAAATTGAAAGTGTGATTTTCGGACCAACAATGTTGAGCAACAGAAGACTTCTGTGTTTCCTTTTTTCTAGCATATGCCTCATGTTCCTTGACGCGAAATTTTAAGGCTCTCGTAGTTTGACCAATGTAAATCAAACCACACTGGCAAGGAATCCTATAAATACCCCAAGAATTCTTATCCGGAATGGGGTCCTTGAGTATGGAAATCGGAATTTTATTGATGGGAGAATAAACAACCCGAAAGTTAAATTTCTGCAAAATATGTGCAATTTTATAGCTAATTGATGGAAAGAAGGAAATGACAGCAGAATTTTTATAATCTTCTAAAACAAGAGTGTGCCTTTTAGTGTGTTGAGATGAGAATTTTTTAACTGCTTGATTAATAATGTTGGGTGAAAAGCCCCTGTCAATAGATATTGCTTTTAAATAATTTAGTTCTTCATCAAGGGCTAGTTTGGAGGAGCAAACTTGAAGAGCACGGAAAACATAGGAATAAAATGAAGCTAACTTTTGTTTAGTCGAATGACATGATTTAAAGTGTGGTGGAAGGTAAACCGATGAAGGTTTACGGTAAACCGTACTACTGAAGTTGGATGTGTTTACGTGTGACCAGAATGTCGAGAACGGAAGAGAATTGCAAGTCTCAAGTTCAAAAGTGAACTGAATAGCAGGATCAATAGAATTCATTGTTGAAAGAACTCTGTTTAAATCATCTTTATTACCTTCAAACAGGGTAAAAGTATCGTCTACGTAGCGGAACCATGCCGGGAAGTTTAAAGTTTCAAACAATTTTGATTCATAATAATGCATGTAGATATCAACCAGGATGGGACTGAGGGGGCTTCCCATGGCTAATCCCTCAGTTTGCTTGTAATATTTATTTTGAAAAACAAAATGTGTTTGTTTCAAACAAAGTTGAGTGAGAGAAATTAGCTCATCAATTTCGATGCAAGAGAAATGAAATTCGCGAAGTCTGGTTTCTAGACATCTTAATGCACCCTCCACTGGGACATTGGTGAATAATGATTTTACATCAAAAGAAACCATGAGTAAATTACTAGGGGAAATGTTTTTAACCTTTTTTACAAACTCTATTGAATTTTTTATGGTGTAAATGTTATTGTATAATAGAGTTGAAAATCTGGAAACTAAATATTTAGCTAATGGATACGAGGCTGTACCTAAATTTGATGCAATAGGGCGGAAAGGAATACCACTTTTATGGATTTTGGGAAGAGCATATAATCTGGCACAATTCGCAACAGATGGTATAAGCGAATGTTTTAAGTTGCTTGAAATGATTTGTGAAGATTTGATCGCAGTTTTTATTTTTGACAAGTCCGAAGGTGAAGGATCTTTAGGGATCGGATTATATGGTCCTTCGTTTAAGAGTTTAGTGTCACCATCGATGTAAGTGTTCTTATCCATGACGACTATCTGGCCACCTTTGTCGGCCTTTGAAATGATAATATCCGGGTTAGAATGAATTTCGCGCATTGTAGTTCTTTCTCTCGTAGTTAGATTTGGTTTCAAAGGTTTATTATTGAACTTCATATTATGAGCGATAAGATGCCTAATCATATCTTTCTGTGAATCTGAAACCTTACTGAAATTTGAAAGCTTTTTCGATTGGAGCCAAAATCTTTGGAATCGAGGGTTTACAGGTTTGTGAGAAGTTAAAATTATATTTTAGAATTCTCTCTTGCTCTTCTGAAAGACTAACATTAGAAATATTAACTATTGGTTTGATTAAGACACAATAACACGCTGAATAAATACTAATTCAGAAGTCAAACAACAAAAATCAGCGTTATACCTACAAAATATTCACAGGACTAGTTTCGATGGTTTTACCGAACCATCATCTTCAGCTGCAAAACCGCAAATGAACAAGATAGGAAATAATGATTAGATAAGATAAGAAAGCCTGGACAAGAATAAGCAAGTGGCGCTATCTGTTGGCGAAACCAGAACTAAAACATAATTTCTCTAAAAGCCGAAGGCAATTTGGATTGGAATTAGGATCGTTAACTAGAACAAAAAGACTTTTATGAATGTGAAATGCCTCTAGAAAATCCAGTTCTCCAATGGAAGATGTTTTTTGAATAATTTTAGCAAGCAGCAGAAAAATTGAAAGTGTGATTTTCGGACCAACAATGTTGAGCACAGAAGACTTCTGTGTTTCCTTTTTTCTAACATATGCCTCATGTTCTTTGACGCGAAATTTTAAGGCTCTCTTAGTTTGGCCAATGTAAATTAAACCGCACTGGCAAGGAATCCTATAAATACCCCAGGAATTCATATCCGGAATGGGGCCCTTGAGTATAGAAGTTGGAATTTTATTGATGGGAGAGTAAACAACCCGAAAGTTAAATTTCTGCAAAATATGTGCAACTTTATAGCTAATTGATGGAAAGAAGGGAATGACAACAGAATTTTTATAATCTCCTAAAATAAGAGTGTGGCTTTTACTGTGTTGAGATGAGAATTTTTTAACTGCTTGATTAATAATGTTGGGTGAAAAGCCCCTGTCAATAGCTATTGCTTTTAAATAATTTAGTTCTTCATCAAGGGCTAATTTGGAGGAGCAAACTTGAAGAGCACGGAAAACATAGGAATAAAATGAAGCTAACTTTTGTTTAGTCGGATGACATGATTTAAAGTGTGGTGGAAGGCAAACCGATGAAGGTTTACGGTAAACTGTAGTACTGAAGTTGGATGTGTTACGTGTGACCATAATGTCGAGAAACGGAAGAGAATTGCAAGTCTCAAGTTCAAAAGTGAACTGAATAGCAGGATCAATAGAATTCATTGTTGAAAGAACTCTGTTTAAATCATCTTTATTACCTTCAAACAGGGTAAAAGTATCGTCTACGTAGCGGAACCATGCCGGGAAGTTTAAAGTTTCAAACAATTTTGATTCATAATAATGCATGTAGATATCAACCAGGATGGGACTGCGGGGGCTTCCCATGGCTAATCCCTCAGTTTGCTTGTAATATTTATTTTGGAAAACAAAATGTGTTTGTTTCAAACAGAGTTGAGTGAGAGAAATTAGCTCATCAATTTCGATGCAAGAGATGCCAGGTAGTTCCGCTACGTAGACGATACTTTTACCCTGTTTGAAGGTAATAAAGATGATTTAAATAAAGTTCTTTCAACAATGAATTCTATTGATCCTGCTATTCAGTTCACTTTTGAACTTGAGACTTGCAATTCTCTTCCGTTTCTCGACATTCTGGTCACACGTAACACATCCAACTTCAGTACTACAGTTTACCGTAAACCTTCATCGGTTTGCCTTCCACCACACTTTAAATCATGTCATCCGACTAAACAAAAGTTAGCTTCATTTTATTCCTATGTTTTCCGTGCTCTTCAAGTTTGCTCCTCCAAAGTAGCCCTTGATGAAGAACTAAATTATTTAAAAGCAATACTTATTGACAGGGGCTTTTCACCCAACATTATTAATCAAGCAGTTAAAAAATTCTCATCTGAACACACTAAAAGCCACACTCTTATTTTAGGAGATTATAAAAATTCTGTTGTCATTTTCTTCTTTTCATCAATTAGCTATAAAGTTGCACATATTTTGCAGAAATTTAACTTTCGGGTTGTTTATTCTCCCATCAATAAAATTCCAACTTCTATACTCAAGGACCCCATTCCGGATATGAATTCCTGGGGTATTTATAGGATTCCTTGCCAGTGTGGTTTAATTTACATTGGCCAAACTAAGAGAGCCTTAAAATTTCGCGTCAAAGAACATGAGGCATATGTTAGAAAAAAGGAAACACAGAAGTCTTCTGTTGCTCAACATTGTTGGTCCGAAAATCATACTTTCAATTTTTCTGCTGCTGCCAAAATTATTCAAAAAAACATCTTCCATTGGAGAACTGGATTTCTAGAGGCATTTCACATTCATAAAAATCTTTCTGTTCTAGTTAACGATCCTAATTCCAATCCAAATTTGCCTTCGGCTTTTAGAGAAATTATGTTTTTAGTTCTGGTTTCGCCAACAGATGGCGCCACTTGCTTATTCTTGTCCAGGCTTTCTTATCTTATCTAATCATTATTTTCTATCTTGTTCATTTGCGGTTTTGCAGCTGAAGATGATGGTTCGGTAAAACCATCGAAACTAGTCCTGTGAAAATTTTGTAGGTATAACACTGATTTTTGTTGTTTGACTTCTGAATTAGTATTGGTTTGATGTTTACTATGGGAAGGCTTTTTGGACTAGTTGAACTGGAAGACTGTAAAAGAAGTTTTTCGAATTTAACTGCAAGGATAGCA